TTTTTATATTGCCATGTTGACAATCATCTAAACCATTTGTTTTTAAATGTCTTTGCAAAGCTTTTAGTACATCTATCTTAATATCACATAATTTTTAAAAATACAGGTTGACAAATGGGTATTGTTTCATTATATTTATATTTGTAATTAATAATTGAATTTTCAGTTCTGTGTTGAAATATCATCAATTGTGTTTTGATAGAAAGATCTTTTTCTTTTTTATTTAGACTTTTAAATTCAAAATATCTTTCAAAAAAATTTTTAAAGCCTATTTTTTCAAAGCAATTTTGTAAATCTTCTGAAGTTTTATGACAACTACATTTTGAGCTTTGGAAAAATAATTTTAAATCATCAATTACACTAATTACTAAATCATTTTGTTCATAATCTTCTAATAAATTGTATTCTGGTGTTAAATCAATTAAAGACATGTTTTTAAATTGTATTTTGAGATATAATAATATTGATTTAATAAATATTTTATTTGATTTATGAAATTTATTCAGCTTAAAGCAAAAAGTTTTTATTTAAATGAATTTTTTCAGATAATTAATTTATTTCTAAATTTGGATAAATGAGTTTTTAAAATTAGATCAAATTTTCGGGGGTCAATTTTCCTTTTTCTGTGTAACAAATTTTGATTTTGTATTTACACAAAATGAGTTATTTACCTCGGAGGTGGTTTTTGCTGTAGACAGTCCCATATACAGTTTACAACATTTCATTGGACAAATTCTATTCTATTGGATTATTTTGAATTTTTTTTTTTTTTAATTACACAGGATTACACAATAAAATTATGGAATGTTTGTCAATTATTCAATAGTTTGTATAGACGCAATCAAAGTAAGTGTTAAATACAAGATCAAGAAGTTTCCAAATCAAGTTTTGCAAATAAACGTTTTATCAATTATTCAATAATTATATAGGTGGGCTTGATTGAAGTGTTAAATAAGATCTACTAGTGTTCCATGTCGCAATCTAAAAAGGAAACAAAATGATCGTAAAGGCGGTTGCAACCAGCTGTTGCGATCATTTTTATATGATGCAAAGATGGTAGGAACTATCATCAAAAGTTGCAGCCGGTATCCTTAAGATCTATGAAGAATGTATAGGCGTGATTGATGCAATTTTAGTAATAAACAATTATCAATTCCAAAAAAAAAAGGTCAAACGATAATAATAGTAAAAAAAATTGTTTTTTAGGAATTTTAGTTAAACAACAATCAATTCAATTAATATTAATTATTAAACGAAAACATAACAGAGGGTTTTGTAAAATACAGATTAGCATTACAACGCAACGATATTCTGATGTCATAATATTATAAAATCACATAACTCAATCACATATATATTTGTTCGGAGCAAGGTTGGGTAACGAAATGTCTCCTCTTCATCACATGACGAAAATAAATGTGACGAAATAGGATTTCTACACTTTGAGGAATTTGACAAAAGTGAAACGACGAAAATGACGAAATTAACAAACAATGAAATAAAACAATTATCTTGTAGATATTAAATTATGGAGTAAATTTATAAAAAATAAAATTCATAATGTCAAATTCTAATTCACCCAATTCACCGATTCCTTCCTCAAACATCATTAAAATTAGAAATATACCTGAAAGTTCATTTAACAATAATAAATAATTAGCTACAAGACGTCCTGTGTTTGATGTATTTTTATTTTTATTAAATAATAAAATTCAATGTATATCAGCCGATTTTGATTTTTAGACCTCAAACCTTATATCTTATTCATCAGGAAATTAATTTAGCGTAAACTTGCATAAATCTTACGATGCCGACGTAATATTGTGTAAATCTTACAGTGCCGACGTAAGTTTTACACTTTTTTATTATTAAACTTACAATTGACACGTGTAAAATTTTTTTATATTTTCCGGATGTTGTGTCACGATGCTAAACACGAGTATTTTTAACGTGCCAATAGAATGAATGATAATTAACCCTAAAAAAATTTATTTGCTCTGCCAAAAAAACTATTTTACTATTCAAAAGCCCGTCAAAGCAATGGCTAATGAATTTTTGTTAGTATAAAGTATTCATAATTTTATGATCATACTGTATTAAATTTTGAGGTTCAAAAAAAATCAGCGCATATATATGGGTTGTATGGGTTTAACGTCCCGAATCATTCTTATTTTTAGTAAATAGCAAAATTCAATGTATATTTTGGTAAAAATGTAAATACAGTGTGTAACAAAAAAAACTGGATATTTTTATTTTGCCATTGCTCCTCAATGAGTCAGTAAATTTTTATAAAAAATGGGTCATTTGTAAGATAAAAACAACCAAATTTATTGATAATAATTAATAAGAAATCCGTTCTCCATTTCTCTCAATAATGAGCTCACAACGTTGTCTCATTGATTCTATTAAATTAATTAACATGCTTTCTGGAGTTTTATTCCACTCCTCCATCATAAATCTCTCTAGTTCACCAAGATTTTTTGGCATACGCCTCTCTACATTATTCTTAACAATTCCCCAAAGGTTTTCAATTGGATTTAAATCGGGACTATTTGATGGCCAGTCCATAACCGCCGGAATGTTTTCTTTCAGAAACTCCGTAGCAAGACGACTCGTGTGTTTTGGATCATTGTCTTGCTGGAGTCTCCATCTACCTCCAAGCATCCTATTTACTTCCAGCATATGTTTCTGGAGGATTTCTACATAAAATTTGGCATCCATTATCCTCCTGAAGCAAAATAAACTTGTTTTTCCGACTACGCAAAATCCGCCCCATGCAAAAACTTTTGTGTGATCTTTGGGCATGGGACGAATTGGCCGCTCACCTTTGTACCAACGTTCGATGGTGTTTCGGTAAAGTTGAAACGCGGTTTCATCAGAAAATAATGTCTTCCTCCAATTGTCATTAAGGTGCTGACGTGCCCACTCAACACGCCTTTGCTTATGGGCTTCGGTTAACATAGGTGTTTGTTTAGGCAATGCTTTCGAGTACCCATAAGTGGTCAGGTGCCTCGAAATTGTCATATGTGACACGTCAACACCTGTATTCGACACTTTTCGAGCTAAGGTCCATGTGGAAATTGAGTCATTTCTCCGTATTGATTGTCCAATCATCTTGGAGGTATTCCCAGTTATTTTCCTGGGCCGACCATTTCCTTGTATGTGCTCCACCGTCCCTTTTTCTTTTATTTTTTTAATGTTATCATAAATAGTAGACAATGGGATGTTTGTTCGGC